TCCTCACGGGGCTCCTCACATTGTGTTCCAGGACACCGGGCTCCACAGCGACAACACTGTAAATTATGTCAACATCCCCATTAGCCCCCCATCGGCTAAAACTAACAGAGAGCTCCTGTACATGGAACTGGATCTGCGGGAGCCTGGCTCGGTCTCCAGTCCACGCAGGCCTGTCAGAGGTAATGTTGAGCCTTAAACTGCAATTTTACACCTCTATTTGGTATTTCCTGCTGCTGCTTCCGTCTTTCTACCCTCTGTATTAATGGCTTTTTGCCACTGTTTGCACCCCATGCCTCCACTGCACACAGGCCCAATGCATTATCAGAACAAACAGGATTATAGTACACGAGTATACATTAATAGATTCTTGAAGGGTTTTAAACTGTTAGGTATTTTTAGTCAGATAGAAATTGGATAGATACTTTATGTATTAGAAATGTTTAGTAGAGATAGGATGTCTAGTTACTGTTAAATGCTTAGGCATGCTTATGAGTTTCTACAGGGTACATCTGGTCAAGGATAACTAGAGAGAAGAGTTGATGACTGTCAGCAGACAGGGTGTTTAATATTATTATTACGACATGTATAACTGTAGCCTTAGCCATAATATGTTCTTATGTTTAAGTCACGACATGTACTAGAGGTGGATATAATGTATAGGCCTGGTGGGTTCAGGGTCTTTCATCTTACATCTGCCTGCGAGCAGTTTGGAGGTGCAAGATACCTGAGCGTGTAATGTTAATTTTACCTGTGATCCTTTGAATAAATCAGCACTGTTACTTGGACTGCCTTGTCTCTCAGAGTTAGCAATGGTAACAAGAACCAAAGACCTACAAAACACAGGGCGGGCTATGGAAAACATAAATAATAATAAAAAAAAAGTGTTCCAACACTGATGTCTGTTTAATTTGGTTCATATGTACTTCTTGCTTCCTGGCAGGGTTATTTTACCAGAATGTGTACTGATTCTTACAAATATCCAGTTGACTGACTCCAGAGAAGGAAAGATGCATCTACTGCCCCCATACTCATATGAAAATACACACTTACTTTTGATTTAGATGAGAGTGATGTGTGACTGCTGCTTTATTTCCTGCTCCATTTGTCTATCAGCTTTTAAAAAAATGTGTATGGAAATGAAAATGTGCTCTTTGCAGCAACTAAGTGCTGCTATTACTAAGTATGGACATATTAATACACCTAATGCATGGGGAGAGAATTTTATTCATGAAAAACAGCCATTTCATTTTTATTGCAACTTCAGAGCCTAATTTATGTAGCATAATCACATTTTAGATGGTGAAAATGAAGCAATTTAATACAGTGACATAACGCAACTACATCAGTAAATGTATTAAAATTCTCAGGTGTGAATTGGCAAATTAAAAAGAACATTTTAACTCGGTAATTTTATGCAAATAATAAATGAAACGAATGCTTCAGAGACCTTAACAGCAGTATCATTTAGGAAACTATCCTTGGTTGTTATAACAGAGGGAAAGTAACAGTTTCTTTTCTCCCATCTCTCCCTTTACCATCGATTTCTCAACCAGAAGAGGGCTCCATCAGGTACGCCAACCTCAACATCACTGCCATGGAAACAGCTCAGAGTGAGGGTGGAGCATGTTCAGGACAGGGAAGACGGACTGAGTCAGCTGAAGAGCAGGAGGTGAGGGTCACCAAACTGACGCTGCGACGTCCAGTTCAGTGACACTTCAGAACAGCTCTCCCTGCGGATTCACTTTGAAGATGCCAAAATGCTCAAATGCAGTAGGTCATTATACTTAAAAATACACACCATTGTGCCAGTGTACAGAAATTCCTGCAAACAATCCATTCCACTAAGAAAACAGGAAATATCCGGGGACTCTCATGCAGCTGCCATCGTGGATGTTTTGTGTTTTAAATATTTTAATTTCTCATATACTGTATTTAACTTAGCGTTGTCCTTTTACTCCAGAAATGTTACTTTTTTGCTGCATGGCACTTACTGTAAATATGCTGAGGCTACTGTTGGAGACATATGCCTTGTCTAAGAAGACTGGGGAACATTGGTCATTGGTATAACATGGCCTTAATGGCACCAAAAACTAATGTTCACCAGTGCAGTTATAGCTCGGAGACAGATAAATAGTAGCTTTGCTTGGCATCGCGTTAACAGTTGTTACGCTGAATGTCTTTTTAAACTCTGGTTAGGTTACCTTTCTTACTTAGTCTGTTTGGGTGTGGCTACCTGTGTTACCCCTTATGCCAAGAGGTCACCAGTTGTTTAGATTCATATTATTTGTCACAGCTTGGAAGCAGAATATGATTATACAGTGACATCAGTGCACTGACCATTACAATCAGTTGAATCAGAGCGTGAAAGAATCTGATTTAAATAAGTACTTAAAGTTATGTGATCTGAAAAGCTAATTAATCCATACCAGTGTTGCTCAAGCAGGATATGACTGAGTAATCAGCCAGCATGTAACGTTATTCATAGTAATCAATGTCCCTGCTTCTGGTCCGTGCCAGGCCGGCACTTGATGAATAGGAATGTGTCGCGTGTGTTCCAATTTCTCACCCTCTCCCCTTGATATCATCAGGACAAATTGTCCAGTAGTGGAGGCTAATTTATATTTATGGTGGCAGTTCCCCACTGTTGTCTCTAGAGAGGAGACAAGGAAGAAGAAACAATGGGCGGGTGAGTCTCACAAAGTTTTACCAAGAACAGCAACAGCTTTTCTCAAAAGGATGTGTAAAATGTAGCAGCCTTTATTTATGCCAATAAAATATGAATAAACTTTTTAAACAATTACTGTTTGAATGTAGTTCACAAATGTTTAATATTAAACATTGCCGTTTCAGTGCTTCTTATGCCAAGCATTCTTCATTTGATATTGACAGATAATGGCAGTACTATTTCAATATTTCAGCCGCCTGAGGTGCGAGTTTCTAAAATAGTAGCAGCCTGATGTACACGACGAAGCACTGGTGAAATTGGCTGACCCTTGGGACCTGAGCCATTACATCTCGACAGCTAAACTACATCACCTGGTTATGGGTGACTCGACTCCTGCTGTCCATCCCTCAACAACCACCTCCACAAAATTTGGCCCCTGTCGCGTACTGGCACAGTTTCACCATGATGTTTTCTCCACACCTGTCCAAAGAGATGCTGCTACAAAGCACCAGGCTAATATGTAAACTATTTTATAATGAATCTCTGCTATGCATAGTATCTATGTAGTACCCTACAAATCATTCACAGATTTTTAAACTCACTAGCTAGAAAAGTAGAAAACCTTCCATGAAAACATTCTTTTTACAGCAGATGAAAGGGAATGGGCCTGCGTGGTGTGTGGCTGTAGAGGGAATCTGTTCAGTTCATTCAGCCTTCACTGATGGAATGACCACGATGGAGCCTCTCAGAGCTCATTGTGTCCGAGTCCCTGACGAGAGATCTTGTTGGACAAGTCCTGCATGTGTTTCTTCATCTGAAATTGGTACAAAGAACCAGCAGTTAACATCAGTCTCTCCCTTTTTATTGTACTGTCTTTTTATACAACTAGAGAGACCGGTCTTAAATGCAGACAAATTCCTATAGGTTTGTTGTTGTAGATGGGAAACTTGCACCATCAAAACGCTCGTTGGCGGTGGGGTTTCTTTGCCACTAAATGCAGCACGGAAGCAAAAACATGTCTACATGACCAACTGAGACAGAACAAGGGTGATTTTCTGTGCTTGTCTGGCCACTAAGACACTAATGAGGAAATGCGAGGCAGCCAATCGCAGGGTATAGTTGCATTTCTGGAGAGGTGCACGTCTGATTACAACATAGGCTATGCATTACCTATGCTGTTGATTCAAGGCAGAACAATCATTTACACTTGTGTGTTACCTCAGTGACACAGCACATAAGCTTCTACAGCAGGCCAGCAGTCAGCCATTAGCAGCATCAGTAGCTTTGTGGTGTTTGGTGGCATAATGTGAAGTAAAATCTGACAGAGGGAGGAGAACATCTATCCTACCTTGTAGCCCATTTCCCTGGTCTTCTCAGCAAGTGTGTTGTACTTCTCCTGGTTCCTCTTGATGTGCTCTTTGTCTCCTAAAGCCTCCACATGTTGCAGCTTCTGATGGGACAGTTCCAGCTGCTCCTGGTAATGGCTGTGCTTTTCCACCTTGGTCTCAAAGTGATGCAGCTCCTCCTAAATGAATGAAAAAGACAGGGCAGTTAACACAGACGGCTGCAATTTACCATTAGTTAAATGCACAGTAGAGCTTGCATGCATCTTGGGTAGTGACTACAGAGGAAATGCCACAAATTTTCAACTTAATGCCTCCCTGTGATCCAAGTCTGGGAGCCAGAAAGCTTTTAAACATTTAATATTTAAATTGAGTTGTTCACTGCATTCATCTGCTCCATTCAAAGGGTGAAGGGGGCCCAATGAGACATAGGAGACTGGGATTGTTGTGCATTTCAAATGTGTAATGTGTAAAATGTGAACACAGTAAGATGCATTTTCTGTCTTATGACTCATCATACACAAGTAGTACTTAGTTAAAAAGTGCACTGTTAAAGTTAAAGGTTTCCAAGAGTTGTAATGCATCTTGAAACTCAGACATGTTCAAAGAAATGTCACAAGAAACATGGGAGCTACCTTAAAAGAGTCCAGCTCGTCTTCGCTGAGGTTGGCTCTCTTGGCGGCCTCCCACAGTTCAATAACACGGGGCTCACGAAACTCTACAGAAGCGCAGACAGACAGATGAAGAGAGTCTGGAGCCGAACCAGTAGTGGCACACAGTGCTATTTTAGGGAAGCGGTCAGTGCATTAATGTAAAAGCTTACAGTACTTATCTAAAACACAGTCTAGATGAGTTCGCAGTGCATTATACAAAGCATAAAAGGTTAAATATTATGTTCGCTGAGACAAGGCAGAATAAACTTAAAGTTATCTCTCTCCCTTTTCTCTTCGTGACCACCAAGCCCGAGGCTGCTAAGGCTAGTTAACATAAAGCTAGCATAAACACAGAGGACTCCCAGCTTCAGTTCAGAGGCAAAGATCTGCAAAGCCAACAACTGGCATCTCAGTCCAAACTAATGTTATTGTGAACAAACGTGATTTACTATGTCAAATATTCTAGTGCGTAAATGGCATTGCCTTTTTTTTTTTTTTTTAAACAAACACAGGGAAATGGACTGCAGCTTTGCTCTTAAATCCATCTGCCCCAGTGCAGCACTGAACTGGCAACAGTGATACACCCTAACCCCGGAATCGCCACGTTGGCTGATGTCACAGTGAAAAGGGCCAATTAAGATCCAGTCACAACAGCAAGCTACCCCAGGGGCCTAATCATTTGGTACTTATATGAAAGACTGCTTGTATTCACATCTCTGCTTAAGGTGCTGTCATTCCTTAAGCACTACACAGTGCATGAATAACAAACCCAGGCAGAGAAACGAGAGGAGATTTGAGTGAGAGGAGACAGGAAGTGAGGAAATGATGAGAACAAGTGGTTGAGTGAGAAAAAACCCGGAGGGGAATATGGCGAGGAAATAAAGGAGACAGTATGACTCAGCAGAGGGAACATCGCCTTTGTCAAAACTCCTCAAAAGACTCCCACTGACACCTGCACAACTGAGACCTCACACACACTTAACTGAAAGCAGCCAAATATGAGAGATTATAAACTTTCAGAAAAATGCAATCATGGCAGAGTAATGGATGTTTTCTCAGAATTAAAAAGCACACGGACGAGCTTTACGTCACTGGATGGATGTAACACTGGGAGCTGTTTAAATAACCTCTTTCACATTTTTCACATCCTTTTCATTTCAGAGACATTCAATTTGAAGCTACAAGCACAAAACAGTCAATGTTAAGCCGCTGCATGTCAATGCTCACCCACTGTGATGCATGCTATGATTAGGCTGATGAGATAAATGAAAAGCGAGACTGAGATGGAGAAAATACGAGCTGTTTGTGTGTGTGTGTGTGTGTGTGTGTGTGTGTGTGCGTGCGTGCTCTCTCTCACCACTGTCTTCAGTGAAGCCCTCATGGCTGAGCTTACGGAGACGCTCCAAGCCCTGGTTGAGGTCTCTCATTTTCTGCTTCAGCTCCGTGTGCTTCTGGTGCAGTACAGGCTCTTTGGCGTCACCCTCCAAGGGAGAGATCACATTCTTGTGTATCTCTGTTGAAGTGAACAGACAGAAAGAATGTGAGGAGAGGAGGTGATGGGGCAGGTCAGGAGCCACAAGTCAATCGGGGTGGGGTAAGGGTAGAGGAAGAGAGTGGAGGAAATGAGGGAGGGTTGAGACAAGAAACGTGAAGCATAAAGGGAATGATGGAAGGAAATAAGAGAATGAAATTAAAGCAATATAAAAAGACAAAGAAAAGCAGCATTTAATAGAGTTTAATATGAGCCATAAAATAACCTGTACAATTTTATAACATTTCATAGGCCTGACTTTTTCTTCATATTTCACATTTATTTTGCAATAAGAACCTTGAGCAGCCTGTGAGCCTAATCTTGGTGAAGCTGTCACTGTGGTTATGAGGTTCCAACCTGTCTCAGCCTAGTAAAAGGGGAGGAGGTACAAAGTGCAGCAAGGCCAAATGGACAGTGCTACACTTACTCAATAATAACACCTGACATTTAGATTAAAAAGAAAAAATTAAGACTGGGGTCAGGCAGTTGGGTGGAGGTGACTCCCCTCAGGGAAACGTGTGATTGGCTTAACATTTAAAAGTATCAGACAAACAGAAAAACAACCCTGGCCTGTTCTGGCAGAAATGCAGTGCTGTGGAGCCGTACCAGAAAAGTTCTGGCATGAGACAGCTGCAAGTTGTCAGTCACGTCTTTAAGAGACATGCCTGTCTTCCCCACGTCTGTCTTAAACACAGCTGGGCCTGTCAGCTTGGCTTAAAACTCAAAGCTTGATGTTATATGACAAGCACTGACAGAGCAGAGGGCGGTGGGTGGCAACACGTGCAGTCTGATACCTGCCACCTACGTACACGACCATATGACTAAACACAGACAGAGAGCATTTCAGACTTGGAATCGAGTTTTGAGTTGTGTTTTTTTTTTTTTTGCACAGATTTGCTTTGGAATCTGCCCTGACAGCTAGAACATGCAATGCTGGATAATTCTGGACGCTTTAGTTGAACATGCCAAAAACTACTAAATACCAAGAACTACGCAGAGATGACGCGACACCTGTGCTGTGAATGATTCATGTAGCTCACCCTCAGTCCGGCTGATGGTATCCATGAGGATGTTGTACTCGTGGAGCTTGTCTTTGTGGTGCTGGAACTCCCTCTTCAGGCTCAGCAACTCCTCGTTGGAGAACTTCGCTGAGTTCTTGGCCTGAGGGGGAAGAGTCATCAGAGACGGTCTCAAATGTAACAGAGCAGTATTTTGGATGGAGGAGGATGATGGCATGAAATACAGCAATGCCTATAACATGCTGTACACATTCAGTGAGTATAATTTACTGACGCAAATCTGTCAAAGGTATGCTTTGTGTGCTGCAGCAGAAAGTATAGCACAAGATTTTTATTTTGAGCTTAAAAATAATGTGTTACTGTGTCCAGTGTAAGACAATCAAGCACACACTCTTAAAATATACGTTTCAGTATTTTTTTTCCTCCCTTCTTTGCAAACTAATTTAAACACACACCTTGTTCCAGAGTTTATCCAGCCTAGGATCATCAAATGTGTCTCCCTCTTTGGAGTCATGGTCCTTTAGGTAGTTGCTCTCCAGTGGTCGTGTGTCCCTCTTCCCATCCATCCCATACTTGGCCAGGATCACTGTGTAGCAAAACACAGACTTTTTACTAATGAACAGAGTAACAGCTGAGGCTGTTTGATACCTAAGATAATCTAAAGTTACTAAGACTCAGCAGACCAACAAGGTTTTGAATTAGGGAAGCTGATGACAGCTTATCAAAACGAACTCTCTTTACTTGACATACAGTAAATAGCACACGGTAGATGATATGGAGTGCTTTTTGTCATGCTGCTCCTAACCTGAAACACTTTCAAAGATGTTCGTGAGAGATACGGAAAATGCTCATTTAACCCACTCACTCACTTAGCAGAACACCTTACTCAGACCAAAGCTTGGCAGGATGCCTGGCTACACATAAAGGTAACAGAAGAAGACAAAAGATTCTAAAAAGTTATTCTGTATGCATCCAAAACCTGCCAGGTACAAAGGTTTGTTTTCCAGAACAGATAACTGATGATATCGCCACATATTTGACATGCCTGTACCTACTTTGCCAAATATTTGTCAGCTGTGTAACCCAATACATCACCAGCCTAGTACTGTCCCAACATTTCAGAGTGCTACAGAACACCACAAAGCTGGACTATGCTCTGAAGAGACTCTACCCTCATTACTCTGCTCCAGTAAACTCTTACTACAGCAGCTGATTCAGCGCCATCTCAAAACTGTAATAACACATCAGTGTCACTTATTAACTTCATGTTGCGTTCCCACCATGCTCAGAAGAATAGGCGTGTTATCCTGATTATATTGTGATCACTGACTACTTTATAATCTTCATAAGCAGGGTGCATGCACTTGAGTTATTGTTGGGTTTGTATAGTTTGCATTGTGTAGCATCAGCTGAGCCTCTTGATCCAAGTGATCTAAAATGAGCACAAACATCAGAATAAACCGATATTCCCAGATCAACCAATTTACAACAAGAGCACTCAGAAAGCGCATGTACCTCTGCCAAGGGGCAACATTAGCTCATGCAAGTGGGTCCCTTGTAAAAAATGAGATCAGAACACCACAGAATAGGGGTGTGACAACACTGGGTGCATGAGAATGAATGTGGACGCCCACAGGAATAACTTCTTTTGTTTACCTTGTTAGCATCAGCATTCACTATCGAACTTGGGCCACAATTTATGTACCATAATGACACGCCACACGTGTTTGTTAGTACTGGATGTTAAGCTGTTTTATCCATCAGTGTCAACACACTAGTGGTAGAATTGGTGCTAAGGTAGAGTAGGCTACATTAGCAGCATGGCTAACCAAAACACAGTGGAAACTCATGGCCTGGAAACATGAATGAAGCCACTCACTTTGACTTATCAAAGCATGGCCTTATTGTACACGCCTACAACACTCTTCCTGCAACCCTGCACCCTGCAACGAAAGCACCCCTGTGACATCGTGAGACAGTTTTTGCCTCACTGAAAAATATAAAATTTAAAAAAAAAAATCACAAGATCACGTGACACGAGATCTCGCCACACTCCTAACACAAACTGTGTACTAAAATCCTTGATCTGGATCATGTTTTAGGGTATGACAGGCAGATATACTGTGCATCTTACCTGAACATTTCAGGAGTCTATTATCATTATAGGCCAAGTTATAGCAGAAAAAATGTGTTAAATTTTCAATGTTAACTTTAAATGGCCGTCAGATCCAGAATCTGGACAGATCTGGATGAAGTTTGGTCTGGTGACAGACATGGCCATCTTACATATGTGTCATATTTCAAACAAAAATGATTTTGATAACTTTCAACAGAGGTATATTCTTTTTTTTTAAATTTGCCCCATGTTAAACTTGGGAATTTTTTTGTGTGAAATTTTTTATTATTATTATTTTTTAACCTTGACCTTTTTCAGCCAAAATCTAATCACTTCAAGGGTTGGATCCCACCAATGTCTGTACCAAGTATGCTGATGATCCATCCAGCCGTAGGTTAGCAGGATTGCTAACCTACAAACAAACACACGGAACCAAAAACATAACCTCCTTGGCAGGGACAACAAGCAAGGCGTCAGGATTTGCCTCTTGGCATTTCAAACTGAGTGCAACAGGGAGAAATGCTGGTAAAATAAAAAAAGGAGAGAAATATTTGTTGTTGCATCCAATTAGAAAGGCTCAAGAAAATGAGATCCATTGGGAATATGGTGACTGGAGTCCTTTTATACTGAGCCTACAAAGAAGCAGGGACCGACTCTGCTGCTCTGCTCTAAGCTACAGGTCATTTTACCACTGGGGAGCGAGGACGGAGCAGAGTCCAGTGGAGGTGGGCTGCTGCCTGTGCCTCCACAGGGCGGGGAGGTGTCCACTGGCTGCTGGTGGCAAAACGCTGACCAGTCTGGTGTGTATGGCTGGCTCAGTGCCTGCAGGTGCTGAAGTGAACATCCCGTCACACAGGCATACACCAGTTCATGAGTTTGACTGTTAATGCATGCCTGTCCTGTCCTTTTGGCACCGCAGAACAAACTGTTGTACGAATTGTTAATACAGTTCATTCTTCACTGTTAAACTATATGCTGCTGAATACTACATACAAATGGTGCATGAGGATCAAAGATGCAACATGCACAGCATACATTTCACATTCATGTGTAAGTGATAAGTGTATAAAATCAATGATATATTTATTATTGGGGTCATAGGTAAAGGTGGTAATGTACTGGACTACTCCTAATATTCTGACTCACTCTGTATGTAACTGGGGAGGACAGAAATAGAGAGACTCCTCTATCTAGTGCCCTGAAACAATTGCTGTGGTGCTATACAAATAAATAGAATTGCACTGAATTTAATTAAATGGATGACCAGCTGTCATTAACTAAGAGACTTGTCTCCGTATGTGCTCGGAGTGCTCAGCTGTGCAGCTGTACACTTTGGCCACAAGGGGGCTCACATGCAGTTAAGCAGCCTCTGCAGCACTCACAATGCTGAAGAATCTTTTAAAATATTCCTGTATCCAAGTTATGACACGGATCAGTACCAAAATCTAAGCAATTGTTTACTGGGCCATACCCTGCCTTTCTAAAAACATTCACCAAAATTGGTTAAATACTTTTTGAGTTATGCTGTTAACAACAAACACACAAACAAAATAAACCAACAAATGCCAGGAACAACATAACCCTCACCCGTGGCAGTGGTTATGATAAGCTTATGTCTAAGTTTGATAATAGTTTCACTGAAGCAACAGTATTAGTGGTGTCTTGTAGTCCATGTGGATTGGGCATGACACAAATAATATTTGACATTGACCCAAAACAGTCCTAATGATGGCTCGATCAGTGGACATACTGTCTATTGTTGATATTTTGATGAAGATTCACACATTGTGTGTCTTAACTAGAATAAAACCATCTCAACCTTCTGGTTAAACTCATCTTTTTAAACCAGTGGCTATAAATGGCAACTAATGATGTTTTACATTTAAAAGAATCTGCACTGTTTCTAATCTCTCAGAATGATGTAATTTGCAGACAGACTCGATCCTCAGAGTACAATTTGGAACACACAAAGTCATTAAAATCCTGCATGTTTCAGAGGAGATATCAGCACCACTTTCTTATTGCCAACACAGAGTCCTAAAAAGTAAAACACTTGCCAATGTCAATTATCTTTGAGTCACCTGCAGAATCATTTATGGACAAAAGCGTTAAGGATTTATATGTTTTCCTTAAGCAAATGTAACATTCTAACTGATGAAAAACAAGTGTCTGAAAAAGCCTTGCAATAACATGTTCAGCTTGAGAGCTGCTTGATATTTGATACCATTTTTGTTATTGGGTGAACAGCAGAGATATGCTTGTTGGCATCACTAAAGCCAAAATTTTAAGCAAAATCATAAAAATGTCAGCACAGAGCGGTACTGCCAAGACTGTGGATTGAATATTCAGGGCCGGGTGACTAGTCTGCAGTGAGTTTAAGACAAAGTGACGACACTGCTCAAACTATTGTTGCCTGCACTTGCGAGCAGAGACTGTCTCACCATTGAAGTTGCGCCGGATCTGGGCCTCTTTCTCCCCATTGTCATCAAGCCCCTCAACCTTCATCTTTTTCCACAGCATCTCATCTTTTTCCTGGATCTTCAGATCACTGTGCAGCTCAGCCAGCTGCACTGGGGACAACTGCATCTGTCAAACCACAGAACATAACATAACACTAGTTAAGCAGAGGGAGGGAGAACTGGGCAGGTTTGAAAAGAGAGAAGGGAAAGTGGTGACAAGGGACAGACAACAATTTAAAGATCATATCACAGGTTTGAAAATAGGGCTGGTCACCATGGATAGTCAGCTTTGACTGAGCAGTCAGTGAGTGTGGGAAACACCACTTTGATTAAGGTAACACAGCTGGAAATGTTTGGTAAATAAAGGAGGGCATACTGGTGAAGCATTGTGCCATAGGTATTGTTAGACCCCTTTTACTGGGGCACATGCCCCAAGTGTTGATCTGCTGTACCCCAGTAAAATTTGAGTTTTAACAAGCTCCTATAATTTGGGAGTGAACTAACTTAGACTGATAATAGCAGGAAAAGAACTGATTTGCTGTTCTAATCCAGAATGTTAAAGCAAAATACAAGCTCAAGTGCAGTGGTAAGGGTTTGTACAACACGGTGCACACATCATGCACAACATAGCTGATGCACTGCAGCGTGCACACAGCAGTCCATGCATTGATGTGCAAAACAAAAGAATGGAATGGACTGAGGCATGTGACAGGGACTAAGTTAAGTTTTTGAATATTACCATTGATCTTATTCTGACTGAAACATTACTGACCCCTGTAGATGGATGTAAGAAAACTCTTTAGAGGAGGCTGAGACAGAGGTTCAGAGAGATGATGGCGAGAGAAGTAAGACCTGGCTGTAGCTGGTAAACAAGCTAATGTTAGTTTAGTTAGCTAGTACATTACCAGGCACGTATGTCGGATATGAAGTAAATTAGAGTCAGTGTGTACACCTTAAAACTCTATTGGTGTCCTACATGAAATAAAATGAATGCCAAGTATGCTGCACCGATAGTGGTTTATGTTAAGTTTACACTGTTTCATTCTGCATTTCATGAATGGCCTAGAACATGGCATTTGATGCTCTTATCACACAATCCAAATCATATTTGTTTTATGCACATTTAAAAAAACAGGTGATCCTGAGACAGAGAGTGTAGAGAAAACTGTTTGTGTCTATGGAGACAGGTGTGTCATGGCCACTTCTGAAGTAATTAGAGCATCAATATGTGGCCTTATGAGTTACAAAAAGTGTTTAGATTATGTTTGTTTTTTTTAATTAATGATTTGTTGATAGAGGAACTTGACCACTTAAATCTGACAAATCAGACGTAGTTATTATTGTGAAATACAGAAGAACACAAAGAAATGTGCAATGCAGGTCCAGAGTTTTATACCATAAAACTATAGAATGTTCTTAATGTATGATGAAATACATATTTTCATAAAGATTAATTTCTCTCCACTTTTACATTTACCAGTAACAGCAGTGTGGCAGTGGAATAGTGGGCTAAGGGAAGTTCATACAGAACATTTCATTCATGCAGCCGACATGCAAGAAAAATAATTTGATTTGAGTAATTGGGCCTGTGCCCCAGTAGAGCTTTATATCTAGCAACGCCCCTGCATTGTGCCACTTTTTAAAAATCTGAAATGCGAAAGTTAAAAACGTGTCTGATGACCCAATTTACTGTTTTCTTTTATAATTAGATATAATTCTTAAAGTGTTCCAACCTTATTATCTTTCTGTGTAATACAGTAGCTTCCATGAGGGAGATTCCCACAATTAGCCTGTTATTGCTTGGGAACACTGAGGTCCAGTGGGGCAGCTGGTTAATGGTAACTGACTTGCTCAAAGGCCCGCAGCTCTGGTTATTAAGAAAATAATTATACTATTCCCCCATATTCATATGTAGCCCAACAACCTCACAATACCAAGCTTTAATTCAGCTTCTTTACTGACCACCAAATACAGTCATTTGTGTTAGTGTACCGTTAGCACAACTATCTACAGCTGCTAATGTTCCAGGTGAGTTTCACTTGACCATAGAGACTACATGTTCATATACGTACCCTTTTAGCCTTCTCCCACACCTGGTTTAGTTTAGCTATCCTGAACTCCACTGTATGTCCATCACTGCCACTCGCCTTCGGCTCGTTCACTTCACGAGAGTATTTCCCAGCCATTACACCCGCAACGACACATAGAGCAACAACCAAACACTGCAGCTTCATTGTAAATATGTTTATAACAATACAAGCCAAAAAGCGTCGGGAAAATACCAACGTTAACTAAACAATAATTTCACTGCAATACTGCAAACGTTTGGTTCCGTGACTTACTGGAGCAAGCACCACAAGTCATGTGCTCAAAATGGGATGGCACGTCCTTAAGCATTCTGGGATATGTAGTTTAGCCGGCACAGCCTTTTAGTTACTAGTAAGGCAGATATGATATTTTATAAACTACAATTCCTGAAATGCAGCTCTGCTTCGTTACCTGGCAACAAATTCAGCAAAAAGCGAGCAAATAGAAAGCTTCCACGCGCTGACGTGACAGGCTCAATGAAAACAGGCTGTACAGTACGTTATACTGGAGAAGTTTCAATATGGGATTTTTCTTCTTTTTGTTATAGCCTACTATACATTATCAGCACTCCTATGTTGTGTTGTGTAATTGTTTTGTGCTTGACATGCTACATATCCCTACTGTTTGTTAATTAAAAACACTTACATGGATTGTCAGCAGTTATTTCTGGACAAGTCTACAAATATTGCGTCTTAGTATTTAGAATAAAAAAAAAAGGTGAAACCAGAAATACAGCACAGAGTAAAGCTTTTAAAAATGCTTTACTGTTTTTCATAGCCTATTAATATTACATTCACATGTTAGATTTGCTTTATTAATCCTGTACATATATACAGATGTTTTTTTAAATTGAAGTTGAGCTCAAATGTAGTGTATTTAATTTATATTTTAATCTGCTGTCTCCCAGCTGACTTTGGGAGAGAGATAGGGAACAGGACAGGTTGCCAGTTTATCACAGGACAACGGAGATACAACAAACTCACCTTCACTTTCATCACAATGCTTGATGAATATATGAGATAGCTCAGCTGATGTCCCTGATCATCAACACCTTTTATTCCAACAAAGAGATCTTCCTGAGGGAGCTTATCTCTAATGGCTCTGATGCTCTAGACAAAAGTCGCTATGAAAGCCTGACAGAACCCTCCAAGCTGGACAGTGGCAAGGATTTGAAAATCGACATCATCCCCAAAAAAGCTGACCGCACCCTGACCCTCATCATGGCAGATATACTTCAGATAATCTGTGAAAAAGAAGGTTCCAGGTTAGAGCCCGGGCCCACCTGGGGCCTTTCTGTGTGGAGTTTGTATGTTCTCCTTGTGCCTGCGTGGATTCTTTCTAGGTAACCTGGCTTCCTCCCACAGCCCAAAGACATGCAGCTTAGGTTGAATGGTGACTGCCCATGGGAGTGAGTGTAGGTATGTGTGGTTGTCTGTGATAGACTGGCGACCTGCCCAGGTTGTAACACACCTCTCAACCCAATGTTAACTGGGATTCGCTCCAGCCTCATTTTTCTCGTTAGGCTAAGTGATATAGATAATGAATGGATGGATGAACAATCTGTGAAAGTACACAAACACACACACACCTTTATAAATTAACAATTTAAGCTGTTCATCACATAATCATGCTCACCCGGCATATTGGTTTCAGTAGGAGATGAGGCTTTTTATTATAGAGCTATTGAACAGGTTGCCTACAAAAGAATTGTTTATACAGCATTCATGCCAATACACCACAATAACTGAACAGAATTCAGATAAACTATATTAAACTGGGAGGAAGATTGGGGAAAGTGAGGCAGATGGATAGCTAGACATTAAATGCTCCCCCACCTTGATAATATTGTTGAAGAATTTTTATGTCAATAAATCTTACTCAACTGAAACTAAATTGAACTGAACTAAATAAAATTGAAAATCAACCACAAACTAGACAGCACCCAGAGAGTGCAACCTCCGCCAAGGGCAACTCAATTTCACCATAATGCCATGAAAGCAATAATCTCATGATAGTTTGATCCTAGCATGATTGCTTGACCATGAAATCTTACTTCTGACATTTGAAATTATGCTGATATCATTATTAGTTAATAGACATGACAGCCAGCCACTCATTGGTTTAGGGGTAAAACAATGACTCCAGTGAGTGGACCACAGGCAACGTGGTGAAGACACATTTTGGCAATTTTGTGTTCTGCTTGTTCCACAGCTGTTTGATCATACAGTATTTCATATCGGTTGATTGTTGCACTATGAAGTGATCCTTCACATTCTCTGCTCCCCCTGCTCAGCTGTCAGTGTGTGTGAGAGGAGCGCAGATCCTCCCTTCTCTAAATAGAAAACAGTACAGCAAAAAACACAGTGGAAAAACAAAGTAGGACAGTCAGCATCAACTCGTGAGGTTATGGCAGGTCGTGGTTAACCCTCTGATGCGAAACATATGCACACACATTTTCCTTGTCAAATAACTTGTATTTAGTGTCTGTCCTTAAAGACTGAGCGATTATAGCCTTTTATACACTTTCCTGACCAGATAGCTAGGCTTTTGGAGATATAGTATTCATCTTCGGAGAAAGGGGGATACACTGTTAAAAAGACTGAGGCTGTAGGTGCCACTGAGCTCAGACACAAATATACATGAGTTTATGCACTAAACTTGACTAAAAAATGACTTTAGACATTACAAAAGTACTTGACACAATATGGGCTTTATTTGTTTTAGTCTTCAAATCTGGCTTAGATTGACTGGTGCAATTGAATAAGTCTGACTAAAATAGCCTCAAAATAAGATGCCTTACTGTGCTGTCACTAAAGAGTGATGTTAAAAAGGTGCTTGGAAAATAAATTACAGAAAAGAATTCTTAGATAACTCAGCTTCAACTTCAATGCTAATATTAAAATTCAACTTGTGAGAACAGACGACGGGCAGAAAGTAAATGAATACCAATGGTGAAAGTACATTTATAAATTTATTGCATTTTTCTTCACTTTAACACTTCATAGGCAAAAATGAAATAATACTCCACTATATTTATTTAATAACTTTATTTACTAGGTACTTTGTAAATTCAGATTAACAACACAACATATAATAAACAAAAATTATGACATATGAATCCTGGAACTTTTACTGTAGGCGATAAGTGCAATATATTATTGAATCAATAACTGAAATTAAACACATTATTCTGAAATGGGCCATTCTGCATTTACCTTCAGTGCTTTAAGTATATTTTGATGCAAAGTATTTGATACACTATGGTATTACTAATTTTGCTTAAGTAAAAGATCTAAGTGCCTCTTTGATCTAATCACTTCAGGACTGTGTTAGCACCCAACTTTGAGCATGTTGAAGCTATGTTATGACATCACATTCACTGTCATTGGGCTATTGTCAACCCTGACTACAGTACTTACAGTGAGAAACTTCTGCTCTTCTCCAGCTCCAGATCTTCCCCTGAGTCTTTGTTGTGTTAGTGGCATCTTCTCATATCAGGTTTTGGCTTTAACAAGCAAAAATATCCTCCAGAGACCTGCTACTGATTTAATGAATGCGACTGCCTATAAGGACAGCTGGCTAGCACCAGCTCGTTAAAGGCTCCCAGATGTTGTCAGGAAACTGTGTCGCTTTCATTTCATTTCTGGTTAAATAAACAAATAAATAAATGGATGGTACACTGTAGGATGATGGCATGAAAACAACAAATCATTGAGCCCTGGCACTTTCCTTTTCTTCCTTTTTTGTTGTTAAGTATCTTTGTGTACAGTTAATATTCATATAAATAAAACTAATAACTCAGGTTGCATTTTGATCATCATTATTCCATGTCATCCAATAAAAAAATAAATAATTGACATTTACATGTCAGCAAGTGTTAGAATTTGTCTACAAGAGCATAATTTTGCACAAAGTTGCAATCGAAAAACACCACAGACATAAAAATGTGCTGTACATTCTGTTATTGGTAGTGAATTATGCTTGCAGAGCAGTCCTTCTAGCAACAGATACAATTCACCTGGTTCTGCTCTCTTGCGGCTCTGTGTATCTTATTAAAGATATGCTTTTGCTGCCCTGAGTTTCTCAAACTATTTGTAGATAAAAATTCAGTGGGGTTAGATTGTAATTTCATACGTCACAAAAAGGCTGAATAAAAATTGGTGGGTGTTTGATTGTGACCTGGTGTGTGAGCCTGCGCAAATACCGACAAGGCTTCATAGTGGGAAGTCAAGGAGGAAAAAGGATATTAGACCAGAGCAAGGCTGCAGCACAGCAAACAGCCCACAGGCCCATGAATGTTACATAACCCATGTTTGATACTGTGATGGCAGCGTTTTGTCTCCCTATGGTTTCAATTAGCTAGAAAAAGAAGCATTGGTTGAAGTTGGGTATGACAACAATGAGACAAAAAAACAGTGACAAAAAAGCAAGAAAGTGAAACACAAAGAAATCAATAAGGGAAAAATTAAAAAAAAAAGAGAAGAAAAAGAGATTGAGACAGCTGATATCTTATCAAAAGGCTGTGTTGCCCTGTGGGCATTAGGTAGAGTCATAATTAAATAACGGATATATTCAATCACTGACCATGAGCAAACATAGTCATTAAGACCAAGTGATTGCAATAAACAGCGTTTGATCATCTTATTACTTGTGCTAATTTAACAGCAGGGAACAGTGGGAACAAACATCACATTAACTTAGAGTCTTACTTGGCTCCGATTAGAAAGGGATAAGAAAACCCTCAGCATTTCAAAATCTTCATGGCACTTTCAACAGTGCTGGCAATAGTTTCAGTAAATGTTATGAAAACAGCAGATTGCCTACAGTTTGCAGAAGTTTGGTGGAAGAGCAAAAGTGTTTATTTATTTTTTTAAAGTATGCATATTTAATGACTGCATATATACAAATTATGTTTGCTGATAAGTGAAAAGAAGCCAGTTATTTTGAAATACACAGTATTTTTCCTCATAAATGCCACAGTGCACAGACCAGATGAGCCCGCTGACTTCTGAGTTAACACGGGAGTTTAATATTCTTTTCACATTTCACAAAAAACATAATTTGATTTGATTTAAGACCAGCTTGCAGACTGAAAATTTAGGAAAGATGGACATTAAATACAAAAGAAATAAAGCTTCAGTTAGTGTAATTTGTTCAAGATGTCACAATGTGCTGTATTAGCATGTGGTACAGAAACACTAAAGTCTGTTACACATCTGGATGAATTTAGTGAGTATTCTAGGTATGGACTGTATCACAGTTACACTTAGCAAGTTATGGATTTTGCAGCGAT